GCCCCTGTCTGAGCCCTGCCAGTGGAGATGAACCCCCAGCCAACGGGAGCTGTTTAGCCCGAGTCCTGTCCGGGGTCCCCCATCTGCTTAAAGGGACACTGGGCCTTCCTGAGCGCCTGGCGTGTGCTGGGTGCTGCCATCCTTAATCCATCTGCGGCCTTGCCGCGACCCTGAGCAGGACCACCCTAACGCGGGAATCAGTATGTTCATATTTAACATCGAGCTCCCTGCTGGCCCCTGTACCCTGTCATCCGGGCACCCACCCCCGCCTTGGTTGCGGGTGTCCTAGGGGACGAGAATGAGGGTGTTCAGGGAGGGACACCCCCTCCATGAGGGGCATCCCCTCCCCGTCTGCTCACTGTCCGTTGTTCGTGATGTGTTAGAGTTTAGTGTGTCTGCCTAAATGGATTTATGGATAATGTGGTCTAGTTTTAAACAAACGAATCTTCCAAAAACAATCAAGCAGCTTCCAAAAGAGTCCTGTAAAGAAATTGCAAATAATGCAGATAATCCCCACGGGGTAAGCAAGCCCAGAAGTGGCAGCAACCACACGTCCCCCCTCCGGACACAGGCTCGTCGCCATTACCCATGGTGCAGACCTGATGAGAAATTAGCCCCCAATATACAAAATAAACAAAACCGAGCCAGGCTGCTGGGGCCTTGAGATGCTAGTCAACAGCAGCACGAAGAAATCCTCGTGGACAGCGAGGCATTTAAAAACTAAGCTTTCAGAACATGGGGACAAACCCCCGCAATGCTTTTCCCAGCGATGTTTAAAGTTAGGTGCTTTTCAACTCAGTACTTTTTTGATATTTCCCTAAGCAATGATAAATATTTGGAAAGCTCTTTTGAAGTTTCTTGCATAATAGCATGAGACAAAAAACACCTACCACCAGGCAAACACTTAGTTTTTTTTTTTTTTTTTTCTGCCGCAGTAAAAATGGCAGAAACAATGAACAGAAAATGATCTGCCGACAAACCGAAAGGCATTTCTCTGTCAGCAAATACTGTTGAAAGATGTGGAGGAAACACTACCACAGATTGGAAGGAAGTGTTAGTGCAAATTACCCAGTGTGGGAGGTTTGCTGCACGGTTTCCACACATCTCAGCTTAAGGTATCTGCTGGGTTCTGGTCCAATAATGAAATACACAAACCATGTTTGTGTGTGTGTGTGTGTGTGTGTGTGTGAATCAGGAAAGGAAAGATAAAGCAGAGAAGATATGTGCCCAACGGTGAATGCCTTGTTTAATAAGAACAATTGCAAACGGGGGGAAAACAGTGTCAGGGTACTCCCTCCCTGCCCCGATGGAACAGCTACCGGGGAAGGATTTTTTAAAGGTTTCTGGATGAGGGAAAGATATAGAGATAGCAGCACCTCCAAAACTCATGCACTGGCCTATCCTGTCAAACCACTGAAGGAAAGAACCAGAAGCCAGAGGTCAAATGAAAGGCTACAGGAGCCCTCAGTGGTGTTAACTTTATAAAGTCAAGGTTGTTCTAGCAGAGTAGAATCTTTATGATACTTGGCAATAAGATTGGCTGTGACCAGGAAAACTTCCAGACCACACAGAACGAGTCATCTTTTTTTTTTTTTAAAGATTTTATTTATTTATTAGAGAGAGAGAGCGCGCGCGCACACAAGCAGGGGGAGTGGGAGAGGGAAAGGCAGGCTCCCCACTGAGCAGGGAGCTCGATGCGGGGCTTGATCCCAGGACCCTGGGATTATGACTTGAGCTGAAGGCAGACGCTTAACCAGCTGAGCCACCCAGGTGTCCCAGAACGAGTCATCTTTATGGCAAAGAATTGAAAAGGGCTGTCATGAATCCCCCTCCCTCTCTTTCCTCTGAGCTTGCCCTCCTTTTGAAGGCCAAGGTGCTGGCATTTCTTGAGGAGACAAGAGCTAACAGTTTTAGGCACCCAAGAAAATTATTGGAAAAATAGATTCACCTTCGCTGCATCTGCACCTCCCAGGTAAAGATGTTGAAACAAATGTTTGAAAATGTTTCCATGGACACACAATTTTGTGGCTAACAATGTGTCTGACTCACAAAACCTACACATTTAAAAAAAAAACTTGGAAGCAGAAACTATTTTTAAAAAATTTAGTTGTAATTTCCATGCCGTAAAATTCACTCATTTAAAGTGTACAATTCAGTGGTTTTTAGGATATTAAAAGTGGTGCAACCGTTAACACTAACCCCAGAATAATCTCTTTTTTAAACCTGTAGAGTTTTACATTTTAAAAATTTCATTTGTTTTTTTAAGTAAACTCTACCCCCAACGTGGGTCTTGAACTTACATACTTACAACCCCCAAATCAAGAGTCGCATGCTCTACCCACTGAGTCAGCCAGGTGCCCCTAAACCTGTAGAGTTTTATTTATTTTTTTTAAAGATTTCATTTATTTATTTGAGAGAGAGAGAGCACACATGAGAAGGGTGGAGGGGCAGAGGGAGAAGGAGAAGCAGATTCCCTGCAACTTGGGGGCTCCATCCCAGGACCCCGGGATCATGACCTGAGCTGAAGGCAGATGCTTAACGACTGAGCCACCCAGGCACCCCAACCTGTGGAGTTTTAAAATGTAGTTTGCTTGGGCTTTGAACCCATTTATGAAACATAAACATGCAACACCTTCCCATTAGCTTGTAAGACCAAGTAATTGACAACAGGGAAGACAAAATTATAGCAGCTGGATTTTATTGAGTCCTTGCATGACTGGTGGATGGAGTTAAAAAATGAGTATGATGCATGAGAGACCATGGACTCTGAGAAACAAACTGAGGGTTCTAGAGGGGAGGGGGTGGGAGGATGGGTTAGCCAGGTGATGGGTATTAAAGAGGGCACGTATTGAATGGAGCACTGGGTGTTATACGCAAACAAAGAATCATGGAACACGACATCAAAAACTAATGATGTAATGTATGGTGATTAACATAATAAAATAAAAAATAAAATGAGTATGATGGCTTAGCAAGCCTAGCTAATGATGCCCTTTTCCCATTCAGCTCCAATATTTTTATAACAGCTACTAAGGTCCAGAATTGAAATAAACTGCCCCAAGGGCTATGCCTTCAAATCAATGTTTTACAGTGCAAAATCAAGATTTTAGTAAATAAGAATTGTAACGGCTCAGTATGGTGCCAGATGGTAACTGGACTTACTGTGGTGGCCATTTCTTATTGTACATATATATCGAATCACTGTGTTGGACACCTGAAACTAATACAATATTGTATGTCAATTATTCTTCAATTTTTAAAAAGATTTTAGTAAAGAAGCATAATCATATTAATATTTCTAGTGAGAGCAAAATGCTTTTTTTGCACCTTTGCAAATGTACAAATAAATTTGTAATTTTGTAAAATTTCTTTAAAAATATAGCTGATTTAACTTTCATAAATTCTTTTCAATGTTCCCCCAGGGTGGGTTAGATATGCAACAAGTGCAACTATATTGGAGCGGGTGCTCCAGAATATTTTTGGATGGAGGTCAGAAATGTTTGGAGTCTGCACCTCCCCTCTGGTTTCCCAGCTCCCACCCTATACCCCCTTCCCGAAAACAAAACAAAACAAAACTCTTATCCATAAAATAATCAGTGATATTTTCCAAGATTCAGGTCATGTTATGCCCCTGCTCAAAGCTTTCCAATCACACACCACACACTCTGGATAAAGTTCAAAGTCCTCACCCACCTGCTCCCATCCTTATGTCTCAGGTTTTACCCCCTACCCTACCCCACCCCAACTCTCTGATCCAGCTATAGGCCTGGAATAGCACTTACTGATTGCTGCCTCAGGGCCTTTGCATGGCTGTTCCTCCTGCATTACTCAAGCCCTCACTTCCTTGTCTCTGCTCCACTGTCTTCTCCTCAGGCAGCCCCTCCCTGAGTTATCCACCCCATCCCCTCACTCACAGACATCCTTCTGTGCTCCCATATACTAATGATTTTTCTTTCTAGAACATATCACTACTGTCTTTACCCTGCATAACAGTTTATTTGATTATTGCTTTGTCTCTCTCAGTAGAATAGAGGCCCCGGGAGGAGAGGGACTCTCCTCTCTTCACAGATCTGTGCCCAGCACCCCGATGGTCTCCCGGAGGGGGCAAGGCTAGCTCTAGGGCTGCCTGCTCTGCATGTTCCTTGGGTCTCCCAGCCTGGAATGGGCACTGGGGGGTGAACACCAGTAGCTAAGTGACTTGGGACAAGTCTCTCCATTCCGTGTCAGCATCTCCCCTCTGTGTAATAGTACCGCTGGGCCCCAGGAGGTGCCCATGGCGGATGGTACAGCACCCCGGCCCCAGCAGCCTCCTCAGCCAGCAAGGTGGCTACAGGGCCGGTTGCGGGGGTGACAGGAAGCTACCCTTTTCCGGGCATCCTGACATGCCCGAGTCCTCGGGTCCCCAAGGTGCTGTGAAGACTGAGGCCAAGAGACGGGTGTGCTGCAGGGTCTGCGCGAGTCGTGGCCCTGGGGGGGATGCCTCTGGCATGGTGTCCGCCTGGTGCTCGGGCAGAGCCTGGTGGTCGGAGCCCCCCGTCCTTACCCTGGCGCTGAGGTTGGGGGTGGGGAGTCGAGAACAGCCCATGGGGGGCCATGGGTGCCCCGGAAAGCCGCCACCGCGGCCCGCGGGGCGCCCGGGACAGCCCGCGCCATCGGGGTGAAGGTCTGGGGAGGGGCCCGCGCTGGGGGCCGGGGGCGGGGCCTAGGGCTGGAGGTGGGAGGTGGAGGGGGCGGAGGGGGCGGGGCCTGGGCTGGCGGTGGGAGGTGGAGGGGGCGGGGCCTGGGGCTGGAGGTGGGAGGTGGAGGGGCGGAGGGGGCGGGGCCTGGGCTGGCGGTGGGAGGTGGAGGGGGCGGGGCCTGGGGCTGGAGGTGGGAGGTGGAGGGGCGGAGGGGGCGGAGGGGGCGGAGGGGGCGGGGCCTGGGGCTGGAGGTGGGAGGTGGAGGGGGCGGGGGCGGGGGCGGGGGCGGGGGCGGCGGAGCCCGGGCGGCGATCCGGGCAGTCAGGGCGCGGCGCCCGCCAGCAGCCCCAGCAGCAGCGCCCCGGCCAGCAGCGGCAGCGACGGCGGCGCAGCGGCCGGGCCGGGGAGCGCGGCGTCGGTGGGGGAGGCCGAGGGCTGCAGGCCGCAGTCGGTGTAGGGCTCGAGGCAGGCGGCGAAGGCCATGACGTGGGCCACGAAGGTCTGCTCCTGCACGCCGTGCACCAGGTGCGCCTGCGGGCCGCGCGCGAACACCGCCACGTCCTCGCCGCCGTGGGTCTCGGAGAGCAGGGGCGCCACGGCCTGCTGCTTGTATGCGGGGTCCGCTGGCAGGAGGGTGGGGCTTCAGGGCCAGCGGGGCGGGCGGCCTCCCCCTCCCGCGAGGCCCCCACCGCGCCCCCCAACCCCTCGGCCCCGCCCCGCCCCCCGACCGCCCCGCTGGCCCCCGGCGCTCACTGCTCTGGCTGTCGTTGACGTTGGGCCGGGAGTTCCCGGTGAGCGCGAAGCTGGCGCCGGGGCCGTTGCCGTAAAGGATGGAGGTGTAGGTCTTGTTGTCTTGGGCTATGCTGGGGGCCAGCCCTGCGGGGAGGAGGGCCCTGCTGAGCACACCGACCACAGCGAGGGGGGCCCCCTGCGTGCCCAGCCCAGGTTGCCTACGCGCTGGCCAAATCCTCACAAGCACCCGACGAGGCAGTGGCTACTACCCCATTTGACAGGCGGGGACACTGAGACCCAGAGCCATTTCTGCCATATAATTTGGGAAACAGCACCTGCTACCGCAGATGGAGCTCCCTGCCTACCGAAAATGGAGCTCCCTCGCAGTGTGTAGCCACCAAAAGAGAAGACGTGAGAGTGGTCAGCGGTGACAAGGGTCAGGGTGTCCTTCTCGCTTGTGATCTGGCTGGCCTTGTCGATGGCAGAATCGAACATGACGGCCTCGGTCAGTGCCAGATAAGCCGTGCCGTCGTGATGACCGTGGTCGATGCGGCCTCCTGCAAGCAGGACGCGGGGAAAGTGGACAATGCCCAAACGCCCTGACCATTCCCACTCCTCTGCTGGGCAAGGGGCTGCCACTCACCCTCCACGAAGAGGTAGAAGCCACGGGGGTTCCTGCTCAGCACGCGCACGGCCACCTCTGTCATCTCCATCAGGGATGGGTCCTGGGTCTGGTTTCGGTGGAACTCGTATTTGGTGTCTCCTGGCTCAAAGAGGCCTGTGGGAAAGGGGGCTGGTGGTGACTGGCTGGGGAGTGGGGAGGATCCGTGGCCTGAACATCTGTGTATCTGCTTGGCTTTCTGAGGACCGGGAGGCCAGGGCAGGAAAGAGGGGGGTCTGGGCTCATTACCCATGAGGTGTGTTACAGAGGGGTCCTGGGATGCTTCCAGGAGCGCCTTGCGATTCCACACATACTGGGCACCCTGGGAGGGGTGGAACAGAGCCTCAGTCCATAGCCCTCTCATCCTTGTCCCTGCTGTACCCCTTGCACCTGCCAGCCCCCATCACCTGGTACTTGGCCTGCCACTCGTGCACCAAGTTCCGCCCATCCAACCTGACTCCGTTCTGTTTGGCGTCACTTGGATACTCAGGGTCTGGAGTCCCCTTGGGGAACATGTACTTTCGGCCTCCGCCCAGGATCACCTGTAGCCAAAGGATTAGGCAGGTGGGCTTGGGGCTTGGCTGGCCCTTTGCTCTCTTCTCAGACAGCCTCCAGCTCCCCTGCCAGGTCTGTGGGTATGGTCTGGCCCCAGCTGTACCTTCTCCACCACCACCCCCCTTCCCCAGGCTCCTGGAGACCCTGCCAGCCCCCAGAGCTCAGGCTGTCAGCTGCCCGGGACTGTGGCCCCGGGCCGGCACCCCGCCCCCCCTGCCCTTCATGTCCCACATTAATGTCCATGTTGGAGATGAGCTGCTGGGCGATGTCCTGGCATCCCTCCTCCCGCGCCTTGGCAGGCATGTCGGCGTCCGAGTACCAGTTGCGGTTCACTACGTGTGCGTAGGAGCCTGCTGGCGAGGCATGCTGCACTCTCGTAGTGGTCACCACCCCCACCGACTTCCCTGCGGGTGGTAGAGGTCAGGGTGAGCCCCCGAGGTCTCTCCTCCTGCCTCTGCCCGCAAAGCTGGCCCCAAGCCCACCTGCTTTCTTGGCCCGGTTCATCACGGAAGTGACCTCATTGCCACGCGTCGTGTTACACTGGTTCAAGCGGGCGGCTGCGCTCACGCCGATGGTCTGGTAGTTGGCCTTGACCCCGCACAGGTAGGCCGTGGCTGTGCCTGCGCTGTCTGGCACCTGTCTGTCCACGTTGTATGTCTGGGGACAGAGACATCCTCAGCTCCCCCTGTGACACTGTCAGGCGCCCAAGATCCCGACCCAGGCCCCGGGGCCCACCCTCACTGCCCTGGTGCCCCTGACTCAGGCTCCAACCCTCCTGGGGTCTCCCCTCCTGCCGCCCTCCCGAGCCCCACCCCACCCCACCCCTCTGGTGGGGAGCACCCTGAGCCACCAGCCCTTACCTTGGACAGAGCCAGGTACGGAAAGTGGTCCATGGCCAGGGGTGTCTCAGGTCCCAGATGGTAATTAATTTGCCCCTTTAGGATCCGAGTGGCTGTCACTGTGGGCACCCCCATCCCTGAAGGAGCACACCTTGTCAGGCCTGAGTCCGCAAGGTCGGTCTGTGTCCACTGGCAGCCTTGGGTGCCAGGGCTCGGGGAGCCACAGGGCACGGCCAGGCCTTGCACACTCACCGTCCCCCAAGAAGAGAATGAGGTTCTTAGCAGCCGTCTGGATGGGCTGCAGCTTCTTCGCAGCGTCCAGGGCCTGGGCCGCCTGGCGGTTCCAGAAGGCTGGGTCCTGCTCCTCAACTGGCCGAGCGGAGAGGGGAGGCCAGGTCAGTCTCGGGGGAGTGCGCCCTGTGTGGGGGGCAGCTGGGGGGTGCCTCGTTACCTGGGATGACGCCAAGGGCCAGCCACGGCCTCAGGCCCAGCAGCAGCAGCAGGCAGGGCCCCTGCATGCCTGTCGGAGGGCGGGGGGGCGGCGAGGCCAGGACTCCGGGCAGGCTGGGGCCCCGGGGGCGCCAGAACGTGGGCACCAGCTGCCCTACGAGCCGCTGGGGCTTCGGTCCGGCCAGGACTTTGGCCCCGGGCTGTAAAAGGCTCGGGGTCCCTCCCCTTGCCCCCGGTGGCCACCCGGGCCCCGCCCTGCCCTGTGACTTGAAGTCCTGTGGGCAGAAGGGAAGTGGCAGGGTGTGGCCGAGCGAGCCCCAGGGCAGGGGGCCTGGAGAGGGCAGGTCTGTCCAGCACAGGATAATCCCAGCTGTCACCCCAAGGGAGCGCGGGGAATTGGGGGGGCACGTCCCCTTTGGGGAAGGAGCATTTGCCGTGTCCCCGTAGGGGCCAGTCCCAACCCTTTGCTCACAGTCTGGTGGGAGAACCGTTACTCCTACGTTCAGCTCGTTTTTTCAGTGCTGAAAGCCAGCTTTGGGCAGGCTCCGTCTGGGTGGGACACACGCAGCCTGGGCCAGGGGCCTGGGTCTGGCTTCCTGATGCTCTGAGGCCCCGAGAGAAGGGGAAAGGAGGCATGTGGTGCCTGGTCCTTCTGACCGGGCTTGGCGTGGGCAGGTGGGGAAGGGGTTGGGCTCAGAGCGCGCCCAGGAGCCTGGACCCAGACTTCTTGTGCTGTGGAAAAGGGTGGGACTGGTGGTGACAGAGCGGAACCTCGTCTGTGTGTTTGAATACTGAGAGCCGGGTCGGCCTCGTGGGGTAGGTGTGCGCGTGCGTGCGCGTGTGTGCGTGCATGTGGGGCAGAGAGGGGTGGGACCCAGTGTACATGAGCTTGATCTCTGCTCCCTTGGACACGTAGATAGAACCCAGGGCGAGTCTTTTCTCTCCAGGGGCCATGCATACCCGCAGGTGCAACGTCTGTTAGGGGGCTAAGAGGTTTCAGTAGCCAGGCTGGTTCACAAGCCTTCCTCCAATCCTGCCATCGCACTTTCTGGGTGTCTATCCAAAAGAATTCAAAGCAAGGTCTAGAAGAGATATTTGCACCCTCATGTTGATAGCATTGTTCACAGTAGCCAAAAGGGCCAAGCAACTCAAGTGTCCATCACCAGGTGAATCTATAAACAAGATGCCGTCCATCCACGTAATGGAATATTATTCAGCCTTAAAAAGGGAGAGCATCCTGTCACACGGTACACCACGGATGAACCCTGAGGACATGATGCTAAGTGGCAGAAGCACAAACGCTGGGTGACTTTACTTAGACTAGGCATCTGAAGTTGTCAAATGCACAGATGGTAACTTTTATGTGGTGCTTTTCACCACAATTTTTAAAATATTCCAAGAAGAAAAACCTTCCTCCCGGCTCCGCCCACCCCAGCGGACCATGTAGCTCCATTCTGCGCTCTGGCCTCCTCACCACCTGAGCCGTGTATTTGGTCCCCAAAACCAGGGCGACTGTCCTGGCCACCAGTGTCTCCCTGCCCAGCCCCCCTCTGCTCAAGCAGCTCGCCAAGCACACTGACCTGGCTGTCCTCTAAATCTGGGGAGAGGTATCGCCTTGGGAGGCATCCTTCCTGGCCCCTGAATTGTCCCCCATAGCTCCTTCTGTCCCCTGTATTGTCTTGCTGTGTTAGGGAAATTCTTGGCTAAAGGTCGGAGGAGACTAACTTCTGGGCACGTCCTTAATTAATTAATTGGTTTTATCAGGCTGTAGGTGAAAGGTTTGTTACTCCAAGATTAGTCTTCTTTCCAGTAAATTCCCCGTACCCTTTCTCAATTGGATTATTATTTTTTTTTTAGAGAGGGAGGGAGAGAGAGCAAGCAAGAGAGCTTCTTGCGCAAGTGAAGGGGGAGGGGCAGAGGGAGAGAGAGAATCTTAAGCAGGCTCCACCCCCAGTGCAGAGCCCAGCGGAGGGCTCCATCTCAGACTCTGAGATCATGACTTGAGCCAAAACTAAGAGTCAGACGCTTAACCGGCTAAGCCACCCGGGCGCTCCCCACCATACCTTTTTTCAACTGGAATTTTTGACATAACTTATAGACTCACATGCAGTTGAAGAAATAATACAGAGATCCCCTGTATGCTGCCCAATTTCCCCCAATGGTGCAATCCACAGATTTTCAGATTTCGATTCGGATTCCTCCCCGCCTTCACATGTACTTCATTTGCGTGGGTGTGTAAGTTCTACACTATCTTGTCACGTGTGTGGGTTCATAAACACCACTGTGGTTGAGATACGGAACAGCTCCAACCCCACGGATAGGAACAGATGGCTTTACAACCGCCTCACCTCCCCCCCACACCCCTGCTCAGTCCCTAGCCCCTCTCCTGCATTTCTAAAATGTTGTCATTTCAAATAAGTTACATAAATGGAATCCTGCAATCTTTTGGGGTTGGTTTTTTTTCATCCAAACATGGATCATCCAAACGTGGATCAATCGTTGATTGATTGTGGTGAAAAGCACCACATTCATCCAAACATGGATCAATCGTTGACTCCTTTGTATTACTGAGTGTCTTTCTGTGGGATGGTAGACCACAGTGTTTGACTAGTCCCATGTCCAAGTGCAGACATCTAGGTTGATTCCAGTTGGGGCGATTATGAATAAGGCTGCCGTGAATATTCATTCAGGTTTTTTGCGGGGGGTGGGGAACATGCATTTTCATTTCTCTGTAATAAATGCCAGGAGTGCAGCTGCTAGTGCTTCTTACGGTGACATGTAGTCATCAGTTGTGATCGGCCTTGGTTTCTTGTGAATTTTGTCGTGTGCCTGAGCGGGACTGGAGATCGAACATACATGACTTGTCACTGGCGGTAAACAAAGTCTGTTTGTCCACATTCGCAGCCTGCAGCCCTGACGTGGCCGCATGGGGCCACGGGGGCACTGTGCCCTGAGTCAGGCAGGCACCTTTGGGCCTGAGTCACCTGTGATGTATCTGGTTATAGTCCTTCCTCTGGGGCCCGGGATTCCAAGGCAGCGGGCAGCAAGCTCTTCCTGGTGTGGAGTAAGAGGTCATGCCTCTGGGGTTACTGTAGCCCAGGCCAGGGGCTGCCTGGCTCTCTGCAGCCTGCAGTCTGCTTGTCCTGGTCTGCCTGCTCCCTGGGAAGGAAGGGCTTGTCCTGTAGGGCCCCATCTGGAGCCCCAGTACCCTCCACCGTTGTCCTCGTTTACCCCCGAAGGCTGTCCGGGCCGGGTCCCAGCCCCCAGCACAGGGTGCATGTCGGCTCAGCCAGGGGCAGGGTGATGCGGAGCCCACCCCTGTAGCAGCTGCCACCCACCGACCCACGGAGGGATGGCCCCTTGCGCCTCCTGCCCTCCTGATCTCACGATGACACTCCCCGCCCCCCCTTGGGAAACGTAGTGACAGCCCTGCTGGGGGGGCAGGGGGAGGATGGCAGGAGCTGGGAACAACCCTGAGATCAGACGTGAGCCCAAAACAAGAGTCGGATGCTCAACCAATTACACCCCCCGGCGCCCCCTTCCCTGCACTTCTGATGATATGTGTCCCCTCTCCAGCCAGGCAGTTCTGGGGCCGGGACAGGAGGCCCCCCACCTGCCTCTCCTCCTGGCCCAAGCAGGGGGCCATCAAGAAAGTCCCGGGGACTGCGCTCCTCAGCTCCTCACGGAAGTTAGCTGCATCGTGGCCTGGGGACCGGATGGAGCCCTCAGCGGAGAGCAACAGGCAAGGCCAGGGTCACGGGCTCAATGACCGAGATCTTAGAGGTCACCGGAAAAGCACTGGCTGCAGGGGAGGGAGGAGCCTCTTGCCTCTATTTGCAGCTATGGTTTGGGCGTGTCCGTGTCCGTGGTCCCGACGCAGTCCCAGAGACTGAGGCTCTGCCCTTCCCCCGGAGCCCATGGGCACTGACTGGAGAACAGCCCCAGGGAGGGGGGGGTGTCCTTTGGAAGGAACCAGAAACAGCACAGACCTCGGGGGCATCCACGGGGCCACGGAGGGGAAAAGTTTGCCGAGATACATTCTGGGGCCCAGCGGAGGTGAGTGCATCTAAGGCCAGAGCTCAAGTGCATACTGGGGTACACCCGGGAACCCCAGGGGTTACACTGTACCAAGTCACTTGGGAATTCCCTCACGCTGGGAATTTGGACCTGCACAAGGGTCAGCACCAGCTCTGTGGGGTCAGAGAGAGGTTGTCAAGCCCAAAGGAAGACCCCAGAAGGCAATCTAATAGCGGAAGCCCATTACACCAGCCTTGGAAACTGAGGTTTGGGAGGAGGTGTGGAGGCCTCCGATGCTCACAGGGCCCTTGCAGCTGCCTTCACCGAGCTGACCCTCAGCGAGGGTCCCGGAGGCAAAAACCAGAAGCTGGGCAGCTACTAGTTGGTTAGAGGAGACGATTTGATCCAGTGAAAATCTCTTGAGCACCGACCATATGTAAATCATCCTGGAGGCCTAGCAGAGTCAAATCAGACCCAACGGGCGAGGGGCTTCCTGTCTAGAAACGGGGGTGGGGTACGTAAACCGAATTATGTTCCTGGACACTGTCCCAGGGGAAGAATTGAGGTGACCAGAGTCAGACCCCCTTGGAGAGGGGCAGGAAATAATGCCGGGGCGGGCAGGACAGAAGCCTGGATGTAAGGCCCACCGACAGCTTGCATGACCGGGGCCGGGCTGTGCTTCGGGGGGCTGGAGGGGGCACGAAGGGGAGGTGCTGGTGGAGGGGGTGGTGTTGGGGGAGCGGGGAGCACAGGCAGGGGCAGGTGAGGAGTCACTGACAGAGGAAAGATGGCGAACACAGTGGAGGAGGGACATTGTGTGACTTTCTGTACTTTGGCCCGAGGGATCCGCCCTCTCCTTGGTGCCTGCCCTCCCTGCTGGCTCCCTCCCTGCAATGACCCTTACAACAGCCACACCCCAAATCCCTCTTCTGTGGCTGCCACTTGTCTGCCAGCCACTCTCCAGTCTGCCTCCCCTGGCCCTGGCTTCTCCTCCTACTGGACAGTTTCTTCATGGAGGATGATAACAAAAAGGTGTTCAACGGATGCAGAATTAACCACATGACAGACCCCCAGGTTGGCAAAGACCAAAAAGCCCACCCATAGCATGTTGGGGCCTGGGCTCAGTCTCCACCACCTATAATGGGTGTTCTTCGGTACTTAACCTCTCCCAAGCCTTGATTTCCTCATCTGTGAAATGGGAAGAAGGACAGTCCCGATGTCACAGGGCTGTGAGCGCAGGGCCGTGGGACAGACGCAGTTCTGGAGGGGGAGGGGGAAAGGCGAAACCCTAACTTCTGAAAAAAGGCAGGTCTTGAACATAATGAAAGCTAGCTGAAAAAAATAATAATAAAAAAATAAAAGCTGAGTGTTTGAAAGCCAGTCGGCCAAGTGTTAGACAAAGTGGTTTATTCCTAGAAAGCAAGTATTTGTAATTAAGGTCTGTGTGGGCAAGGCTTCCTCCTGGGCCATTCCACCCACCCGTGTGGGAGGGACATCCAGGCACTGCCCTTCCACAGGGGAACTTGGGTCACATATCTCCGGGGAGTGCAGAAGAGGGGACCGTCCACCAGCAGGGCTGGAAACACCACCATCCCCCCTTCCTCATACAGTTCCCGGGGGCTCAGCCTGCCCCAGGCTGGGGGTGCAGCGGCAGTCGTGGCTCAAGGTCCTTCTCCTTAGGGTGACGCATGACGACACCTCCACGGCCGACGGGGCGTTTGGCCGTGCATGTAGAAGGCGAGGGAACGAAAGCTGGCTCCTGGAACTGCATTCAGTACCTTAACTCTGATTTTTCTATCCCAAGAACCAGGAGGGCAGTCTTATTCCAACAGCAGCTTGGTCTGAAAATCTACGACGGTGAAATCTCCTCGAGGAGACATTCTGCTTCACGTCTGTCTTGCGCTTCCCTATCTGTTGCTTCTTCGGTATTTGGCTCAACGCTTTCCAGAACTGAGCAATGAACAATTTATGAACATTAAAGAACACAACACAATTCACGAAAGTGTTTGAGTAAAACAACTTTAAGTCAAATAAATTATTAAAATGGGACTCCACCCCCCAAAATTGCTTTCTATATATTAAAAAAAAGACAAACCACCAAACCATAAAGACTCATAAAAAGAGAAGGTTCAAAGAGATGATCTTGCAGAAGGCTTTAAGCATGTAACCTGACTCAGTTATGTGCAGATTCAAACTCATCATTCCAAGTACTTCATGTACCCTCCCCCCATCTCCAGAATCTTCTTTACTGTTGTGGAAGGCATCTTTCTCCTTCCATTCACCAGGACTCACGTCTTTCATCGACTTCAATACCCCTCTCACCTTCAACTGACCCTGAAATCTGTGATTGGGCCCATGAACTGGGCCTCTGTTGTCAGAGTCCAGCTGGGGCCTGAAGTTCAGCCCTCCTGCAGACTTGCATCACATTGGGGAGGCCCACAGCCTCACCTGTGGTTCTGCCCAACACCATCGCACCCCCCACCCCTCCGACTTCCTGGCTGGTTAGCTGCCCAGGGCCTAGTCCCTTGCCCTGGACTCCCTACCTTGGCTCAGACAGGGAGCCACCACAGCCCCCAGGGGCGTCCCCGCCCAGACTGCCACCTGAGTCTTTAAGTAGAAGGCCTTAGGCAGCATTTGAACTCACTGGGAGTATCAGGCCACCTGTCAGCAGGAATTTTATCTTACTTACTGGAATGATGGACTGTTTAATATCCCTTTTAAAAGCCTTTTAAAAGAACTGTAGATCCATTCCTGCTAAGAAAAAAGTATTTTTTTTGGGGCGGGGGAGGTTGTTTGGGTTTTTATTCTTATCCAAGTTATACATGAATATAGTTTAAATTACCAAATTGCTCTGTGAGGTTTGTTCCGACAGAACAAAAACAGCAGTTCCCTGTCTCCCTCCCTGCCTTTTCCCATCTCTGAGGCAACCACTTTCCTCTCTTTTGGCTTTCTATGTTGATATTTACCACTGTTTCTAAATCACTTCTTCATTTTTCAATTGTAAGCTCTATCTATTGACACATTCTACTGATCTTCTCTTCTTGGTATCTGTAATGGTTTGTATAACGAACCAGCCCCAAACCACCTCACACATTTCTTGGGATCACAAATCTGCAATCTGGGCAGGGCCTGGAGGGGACAGTGTGTGTCTGATCTATGGGGCTTCGGCGGGGGTGGCTGGATGGGACCTGGGGGGTCCGCTTCCAAGATGGCTCCGTCACGTGGCTGAGGAACTGGCTCCCTTCCACGAGGGCTTCTCCACAGAGTTGCTTGAGCATCCTCACAACATGGCAGCTGGATTCCAAGAGACAGGGAGTAGAGGCTGTCCGTTCCTTAAGGCCGGGGCCTCGAAACTGGCCCCAAGTCACTTCTGCCACATTTCTGCATATTAGCAGCCATCGAGCCTGTCCAGATTTAAGGGGGAGGCACACAGACTCCGTTTGTCTTTATTTGTTTATTTAGCAGCTTCACTGAGGTATAATTGACAAATAGGAATTGTATATATCCAAGATGTACAACTAGATGTTTTGATATATGGATACATTGTGCAACGATCACCACCAGCAAGCTACTTAACATGTCTATCGCCTGAGAGCGATCATTTGCTTTCTGTGGTGAGCACATTGCAGATAGACCCGCTTAGCGGCTTTCAAGTCCACAACACAGAACTGTGAGCTACACCACCATGCTGTACACGAGATCCCCCGAACTTGTTCATCTTACAACTGAAACTTTGTCCCCAACATCTCCCCATTCTTCCTCCCTGCCCTGGCCCTGGAAAGCAGCATTCTCCTCTGCTTTTATGCGTTTGATTCTTTTAGACTCCACATATAAGTGAGAACATGCGGTGTCTGGGCTGCAGTGGGCATCTGGTGCTGTGTCTCCCCGGTGGCCTAGCCTCTTCCTGGCACCTGCTCCCCAGCTTCTTGCCCATCCCTCCCAGCTGCCAGGGACCCCAGGAGCTACCATTCTGTACCATGACAGCTCTCTCATGGGCCAGGGCTGGGCAGCTGCCCCATTCTTTCCTGGGGTCTTCTCTAACTAGAGCTGGGAGAGGGTGTCAGTCTCTCTCCAGGAGGGTGGGCTGCAAGATACAGAAGGCAGACGCTTCCAGAAGGTCACCACAGAGGAAGTGATCTACACCAGGAGAAAATGAAGCAGAAACAGAGAAGGGGCACAGGCTCCCCCCCACCCCCGCCAGGTGACCTGGAGGCGTGGTGCCTCCCTGCCTCCCCCAAGGTGGGCTTTCCCGCCCTCCTCTGGTAGTTCTGTCCAGCCTTCCTATCAGTTCCCTTCCTCCCAGAGCCACTTCGCACTGGGTTTCTGTCCTACGTAATCAAGACAGGAGTCCTCCTGAAGCCTCAGGACCCCTCTCTCTCTGGCTCCTCCTTCCCAGCCTCCTTGTACCGGCTCCTTCTCATCTTCCTGAGCCGATCTTCAGTCCTGAGCCTTCCCAGGCTTTTAATCCGGGCTGTGTGCTGAGGACACCTCGCCCGAGCACCGCTCTCCCCTGCACCTCCGGGCCCAGCCTGGCATCCCCCATCCCCCAACTGCCTACCACCCCCTGCTGCTGCTGCGCCCCACACCCTCCACTCCTGGTCCCTGCCTCTGTACCGAGCCCCCGGGTCTGTTCTCAGCGCGAAGCCTGGGGATGCTGGCTTGCACCCCATATCTGTCCCCCCACCCCAACGGCGAGGAAAGCCCTCGCCGCCCCAGCTCGCTGGCGCTCCTGGCCCACCCGCACCCGCGCTCTGGCCTCCCGCCCCCTCCACTGCCCAGACAGCGCTGGGCCTCAGGGCCCGGGCCTGCAAACGGCCCCCAGGCTGCTCCCTGAGGCTCTGCCCCCATGGGACCCCCCGTCCGGCTTCCCCTTCACGCCATCACGGCCGCCTGCTGTGCTAGTGACCCCACTCCCCCGCTGGACAGCAGCCCCGAGAACACGGCGCATCGCCGCCCTCCTGCTGAGTAAAGCGGTGAAGGCACCGGGGCGTATCACGGCCCAGCCCCGCACGGCCCTCGCATAGAGCGCGAACTCTCAGGCCAGCTCAGAGGGTCCATGCGATCTCCCTTTCCAGCATCTTCTTGCGCGTCCTCTCAGCACTCTCTGATCCTAGCGACCTTGACCCTCACAGCTCGGCGTTAGACAAGTACCTTCGAGCCTCAGTTCCTTCACCCCCGTGGGGCCCACGCATCATCTTCTGGCCCCTGTCCCTTCGGAGCTGGGAATGCCCTCTCCAGCCTCGGAACTTTGCTAGAGCCTCGTCTCCTAGTGCCGTTATTTGCATCTCCGGCTCCCTCCGCCATGGTGATCCGAGGGGGCCCCTTGAGGAAGACAGAGCCTCGCTCTGGGTCCTGGGCTTCTGCCAGTACTTGCATACCGATGCTCTGGAGCAGCCGCAGGGATGAGTCTTCCTTTTTGATGAGGTTTTGTGTCTCGTCGCCCCTTTGTCAATACTTCCATCACACGGGGACACAGAAGGGGCTGGCTCCCTCAGTGGACCTCCGCCAGAGCCCCGCGTGCTGGGAGAGGGGACGAAGACGGACCCCGCTACCTTGGGGGAGAGTGCTGGGCCGCCTCCTTTGGGCAGTGGGGTGCAGTGGAGGGCAGGTGCCTGAGCCCGGTCCTGGCTGGGCAGTCCTGCTGTGTCACCTTGGCCAGAGGCCTGGCTCCTTTCTGGGTGCAGTTTCCACTTCTGTCAGATGAAGCGGGGCTGGGCTGGAGTGGCCACGGCCCCCGTGGTTCTAGGGTGCATCAGGGCGAGACCCACCTCTGCCCAAGCAAGTCCTGGCGGCAAAGATGTTCCTTGCTGACCGAGCCGGCTACACCTCACCGGGGCTCAGGGGGCACCGGGGCAGTAAGGACTAGGGTCCGGTCCGAGTTCATGCTGCTCAAGAGAGGGCCCAGGGGCTCCGACCCACTGCCTCTCTGATGGGTGTCATGCCACGGGGGCTCAGCTCCCGGGCTCTGTGTGCGGCCGGCAGGGGACAGCCCCGGGGCAGAACGGGGCTCCTCCTCAGAGGGTGGGGCAGCCCAGGGGATGGGGACAGGGTTGAGATCGTCCTGCCCTTGGGCTCTGTCGGCTGCCTAGGACAGGAAACACCCAGAAATCTTCTCCTCATCCAAATACCAAACCACCAGCCTCTCGCACCTATCGTCCCTTCAGATCCTTGGTTGCAGAAGGCTCTGGGGACAGGGACAGATGGGGGGGTGGTGGCCTCAGGGACATCTTGGGGGTGGCGAGATGGACACCTGGAAGGCCGGCTGAGGTGCTGGAGCAGGAGAAAGGAAGGCAGGACTGTGGCGTGTCCCCCGTTCCTCTCTGACACTCGGCCCGGGGCTGGGCGGATGATGAGCCACGGCCTGCTCGTGGGGGACAAAGGCAGCCATGCCATCGGTCCTCTGGTCCCCGTGAGGCCCTCCTACAAGGTACTGCACTGAATTTTTCTTTGAAGAGAATTCACTGCAACCAGATCAAATGGGCTCGTTAATACCAACACCCAAGGAAAAGCACAGTGGAACCAGGGCAGGGGTCACTATGGTTTTCACCCTTGTTTCTGGCAGCCCTTGGGGAAGCCAACTTGTGGTTCCCTAGTCGGGCAGGGAGGGAGTGCAGGCTGTGGTCAGGCCAGCTGGGGAGAGAGCACGGCCCAGTGGCCCTCCATCTCGGTCCCTGGGTCCCCAGGGATGGTGCAATTGGGTGCTCAGGACGATGCCAGGAAGGTGACAAGGCCAGGTTAGGGCCACCAGGCACCCCTTTTCCCCTCTCTGGTCATCTCCGGCAGGCGCAGGTCCCCTCTGTCCCCCTGCTCCCTCAGCGCCACCAGGGTACAGGATTGGCACCGGAGGGATGAGGTACCAGCCTGTACCGAGGGGTGTGGACAGGGCTACTCAGAGCTCTGGCCTAGAACCTGAGGGAGGGAGTGCCACAGGACTCGTGCCGTCCCTCCCGAGGCCCGCAGGCAGAGAGGAGGTGGTGGGGGTGGGGAGGGACAGTCACTTGGTGCAGGGTGATGGGTAAGCCTGCTGTCTTGCATACTAATTACATTTCTAATCAGCCAGAATGAGGCACGGGCATCAATCTGACATGTGGCCAGCTCTGTGAATCATCCTGGGACTGACAGGAAGGTTCTGGAGGGTGGCGAGCCCAGCTCAGCTGAGAGGGGTGGAGCCTGAGCCAGGTCCCTTGTCCTGGGTCCAAGGGACACCCTGCTGCCCAGGCCTCCCAGCGGTGTGTCACACACCAGACAGTAATTCACACTTGATTTTATTCCATGACACTGATTTGCTGAAAGTCCCCGGTTTCCTGGGCAGGGGAAGGCAGTGGGTGGCCTGGCAGAAGAGGGGCTGGCCTTCCCAGGAGGACCGGGTCCCGTTCCGCTCCGGTGAAGCACCAGCCAGGCCTCAGCCTTCCGTCCAGCCCCGCCCTCTCCTCTCCAGTTTGTTTAAAAACTGAGCTGCAAAAATAAAATAGAATGAGGAAATAAAAACAAAACCCTGAGTTGTTAAAAACCAAATTAAAAATCCCCTTTGGTGTCGAAAGGTCCTATTCCTAAAAGCCGGTGGGTGGGGCAGGGGTGTGGGCGGGGTGCGGCTGTGCGGGAGGCCTCAGGCCTGTGGGCCACCGGTGTCTCGCTCCTCCTTGTCCTGCAGGCCCAGGAGGCCCTCGGTGCCCGGCCGCTTGAGGATGGCGCTGTACTTGAGGGCGGTGGTCTCGGCCTGCAGTACCACCTCCACCAGGCTGAAGATGGTGACAACCTGCAGCAGAGCAGAGCCCAGCTTGGTGACACGAGTGGGTCGTGGGGGGCCGGTCTGGGGGGCGGGAGGGGAAAGAACTTGCGGGCGGGGCCCAGCCCTGCCACTGTCCACCTAGCTGGGCCCCAGGACCACGCGCCCTCTCCTGCAGGCCTCTGTAAGCTGAGCCTGCTCGGATACTGAGGCCCCAGGGCCCCGGTGAGAAGTCAGGGAGCCGGACACGGCTGTGTGCGTTGTCTGGTGCACAGTGAGTGCCCAGGGTTGGGGGAAAAAGGAACTGGGGTCTGGGGCTGGCCTTCAGAGCGCGCCGTAGGTGAAAACCATTATATGCAAGTTCCTGGGTAGGAGATCATAGTTTGCATGAGATTCCCCAAAAGACCCCAACGGTTAAAACCCTGCTTTAGACACAGGCAGAGCCCCCTGCCTCTCCCCACTGGGGGTGGGGGGCAGGGCAGGGCAGGCAGTATGGGAAAGCTCTGGCCCAAAGGAGGGCATATGCGGGAGCTGCGCGGGGTCTCTGCATATAGAGTCTGAAATCCCACGGGGGGAGCCTAAGTGCCAGGGCGCAGGGAGGGGCAGCAGGGCCAGCAGGGGAGGCCTGGCAAGTGTGCCCCAGGAGGCAGGAGGAGGGCTCACGAAGAGCAAGGGGGCGGACGGGCACACAGTGGTATTCTGGAGAAGCTGCCCCACTCCTGGGGTCTGACCTGCTGCACTTGCTCCTGTCCTGCATCCTCAGGCTCCCAGACAAGCGTGAGCTCAGGCTTCTTGCCCACCTTCTGGAAGTGGTGGGACCGCAGGGGCAGAGCCTGGGGGCACACACATCTACGTCTCAGGTCGTAAGCTCCTAACCTTTGACCCTGCAAACCGCGCCCCCCCCCCCCCCCCCCCGAGGCAGCCCCCTACCTTTGCCCGCCTCTGACTGGCCTTGAAAGAGCTCCCTGACCCCGTGCCCAGCAGCGGGCTGTCGACCTCTGATTAGGGACCACCCCACCCTTGCCTCTGGCCTCTGGCCAGCTTCCGTTGAGGCCGTATCTGAGGGTGACTGAGTGCTGAGCGGCAGGGGCTCATCAGGGACTGTCTACTTGAGGCCCGAGGTGGACCGGGCACCTAAGGCTAGAGGGGTGCCGACCCCTGCAGGCACAGGCTGAGGGCCGGCTCGTCTGCACACCTAGACCTGTCTGATGACCGACACCTGAACTTTTGTCCTGCTCAGTGAACTTCAGGACTGGAGCCCTGACGGACCCCAGCTGGACTCCATTCTGTCTCTTCTGCTTTACTGTGTTAACTCCATGCTTATTCCACTCTGTGTGCGGGGCTCTGCATTCCCCCAAGGGTTCTGGATGTCAGGAAATTCAAAGCCAGGGTCAGGGGCCAGGGGGTGACCTGCTAACCGCAAGGTCAGCTGAAATAGGTACCTCAGATGACAAGCGCAGGAACCAAATACCCTCGGAAAGAACCTTAAATAAACAGCCACACAGGCAGGGCAGGACCCAAGGCAAGGACTGGTCTCTTCCTTCTCTTCAGGGGACACAGCTTCCAGAGTGGCCATGGACCACTCCCTGCTCTTTCCTTCCTCCACATTCCCATGAAGAAATCCCCCAAGGCTTGCAAGCTCTGCCATCCTGCACTGGTGAGGGAGGGGCCCGTTCTCTCGAGCCTGACTCTTGGCCCGGATCCCTCATCCCAGGCAGGTGCAGCGGGGTGTCCCGGCATGGCCCATCAGGTGGGCTTGGTGCTGGGTGGCAGAGGGAAGCCAGGTCAGGGACGGCACGCCCTCTGCCACCACATGGCCAACGTCACCACCACGGCTTGTATTCTCCCGGGCAGGTGAGGATAGCAAGGACCCCAGCCTGTGCTCCCATCCTCCATGCTTGTGTGTCTATCAAGGGTTGTCCCTGGGCCAGGCCCCCCTCCCCGATGCCAGGCAAATACGGAGGGGACCCCGGCAGAGGCTGGGGGGGACACGCAGGTGAAAACAGACAGTGCGGTGGACACGGCTCAGTGTGTCTGGGGGTGGGGGAGGGCTCTGGACAGAAGCCACGAGGTCCCGGCACTCACGTCATAGCAGATGCCCTCGGCACCCCTGCCCGCAGGTCCTTAACCTGGCCGTGGTGGCCCGTGGTACTCACATTACAGTAGACACGCTTCTGCACCCCGTAGCGCAGGACCAGCACATCGAAGGCTTGGTTCAGGACGCCCAGCACCATGGCTTCTGACTCCAGGGGGCCACTTTCCTGCAGGGCAGGGCTCTAGCCAAGGCCTGGCCACAGGATGTGGCATCACCCCCAGGGCCCACCCCAGCTGCCAGGGGGCCCTGAGCTCCCTGAGAGCTCCCTGTGAGCCGGTGCCCAGGAGGGGAAGTGGGGTGGAGGAGCGGGAGAGGGGGCCCTGGGGGTGGCCTCACCTTAACCAGGATGGCAAAGAAGAGGCCGGTGCTGAGCTCCTGGACGCGCTTGGAGGCCATGCGGCGGTCATTGCAGTGGTCGGCCTGCTTTTGCAGGGCCTCGGACTCCAGGTTGGGCAGCTCCCCGTAGCCTGGGGAGAGGGTGAGTGCGGGGCTGCTGGCGGGGTGCTGTGCGTAAGCCGGCCACGGCTGGGGACAGGCGGCACAGTGCTCCCTGCCCAGGCAATGTGGGGCCCGGGCGGCCCATGCTGAGCTGAGGTCTCTCTGCTGCCCAGCTCCGAGGGTTTGGGGTGGGGGCAGCCACGTTTAGGGCCCTTGGCTTTTGTATAGGACTTCTAATGAGCTCTACTGCAGCCGACCCCTAGCATGCTCACGGCGGGGTGGGGGTGGGGTGGGGAGGGTCTCTGGGCCCAGGCTCCCCTGCTGCTCGGCCGGCCACCCCTCGGGGCCTCTACAGCCATGCAGTGTGGCCTCTGGCTGCTAGGTACCCACTCTGGGCCTGGGCAGCCCTTAGGTGGGCGCAGGCCTGCACGAGCCCCCGGGCTGTGCTTCTTACCAAGCGCGGCGGCCAGGAGGCGGTGCACCAGGACGTCGGCGAAGCGGCGGATGGGAGAGGTGAAGTGGGCGTAGAGCGGCACATTGAGGGCGTAGTGCCGGAACTGCGTCTGGTCCTGCAGCACCCCCGAGCAGAAGTACAGGGCCATCTGGGGGGGGGGGGCGGGGTCTTAGAGCCAGGCCGGGCCAGGCCACGGCTGGGTTTGCCCTGCCAGGCTGTGACACTCAGAGGCTCGGGATGGGCTGCTTTGGAGTGGACTGACCCACCAGGTCGCAGGCGGCTAACCACGGGCCTGAGGAGGCCAGGGGCCATTCTCTGTAAGGCGACCCAGGGGCTGCCATGGGGCTGCGCCCAGCCACGGCGCATCCACGCCCCTCTCCCACTGAAGACAAATGTGGGCCCTGCCCCAGGCTGTGCAGACCCCTCATGGCGGCAGCACCGAGAACAGGCCAGAAAGCACCGCAAGGGGCCCACCCCGCCTCTGTGGGCACAGGGGGTGCGGGGAAACCTCCAGCTGCCGGAGGGCCCCCTCCCTCAGAGCCTGGTGGGGCCGGCCCCGGAGCCCTTGGGGAGGGCGGACCACGGGCTGAAGTCTGAGGGCAGCTGGGGAGGAGCTCGGCCTGCTGCTGTCGTTTTAGGGGCGGTTACTGCCAGCCACGAGCAGGGAGCGGCTCTGGTCTGCTCCACGGGATGGGAGGAGGGGAGGCGGCCTGTGGCCGGCCAGACTGGGCCTGCGGACACGCTGTGGAGGCAGAAGCGGAAGCCGGGGCGGCCACAGGGCTCTGTGAGGACGCGGAGTCCGCCGCCGCCGCCACCCGGCCAGAACGGCCCGTAGAAGAGAAGGCGCGGGATGCCTGGTACCCACCTCCAGGGACATGGGCAGTGGGCGCCTGGCTCCCTCCTCTGTGGCCCAGGCCTAGTCTTTGGTGGTGACCGACCTCATGCCCTCCAGCCCTGATCCCGGTCCCGTGGAAGGCCATGCTGGCACCCTGGCACCTCCGGGCCCCCCTACCAGCAACCCCGCGCCAGCCAAGGGAGGGAGAGGCTCACCAGCCGCCAGCCTCAGCCCTCGTCCCTGACAAGCCGTCCTGGCACCAAGACTCAGAGGTCTGAGTTCAAGAGGCCCCTCTGCAGGGGAGAAGTGAGGACCGGGGTACACGAAGAGAGGCTGAGTTTCTCCAGGCCTTGGTGGTTCTGCTGTGTGGGTGGTTTGGCCACAGTCCCTGCAGCTGCCTGCCCTGTGGCCCCCGAGCTCTCGGGGCTGGGACTCAAGCACGCGGCGAGGAGCAAGGGAACAGGTTCCTCACTGAGGGCCAAAGTCACACCCTTGGGTGTTCACTCGCTCGCTCCCCTTGCCGCCTGTGCGCTCGGCCAAGTGGACAGCCGGCTCCGGTTACCGTGTGTGTCGGGCCAGGAATCAGGGCGCAGCTGGTGATGACCTGCTCAGCTCCCCGAGGCCGCCTCCCAGCTCCTGCTGCAGCCTGGGTTATGTCCGGGGCAAGTCACCAGGGGACTGGGGGAGGGGGGCAGCCTCCACGCCGAGCCACGTTTGGGTGTTGTTTTCGGTGGTGGTGGCCCAGTTCCCCACATGAGCTGGGGTGAGGAGCACAGAGACCCTGGTCCCCTTCCTGGCTGGGAAGGTGCCTCTGGGTGGGGCGGGATGGGTGGGGACTGTGACTTTTCTGGGACAGCAAAGTCCCAGGTGTCCTGTTTCAGCTGCTTCCTTAGGACGTTTGTGCTCATTATTGCTGCCACTGCCTGGTCCCCTGTCCCCGTCCTAGCTCTCAGGGGCACCACAGAAACTCCATAGCCCCCTGTCATCAGCTCCCCATACAAAGGCCAGCCCTGAAGGTCACTCACTGGCAGGCAAGGCCAGAAGTCCACTCTTTTCCAGGCTCTGGGTGACTCAGGAGAGGAGAGCTCCTTTCCACAGAGCTCCAGGGCTAGTTTGACCTTTGAGATGGACAGTTCCAGACACTTCCAGAGGCAGGGGGCAGGGAACGGGAGCCCAACTGGCCCTGCCTGGCACAGTCAACAGGCAGTTGCTGAGACCCAGGGGCGACCGTGTCTCAGAGTAACTAGAGGGCAGAGTGACATCGAGACCCGCGGCCACAGGCACACCTGCCCCTCTGTGTGGCGTGCTTTAAAGGTGCTTGGTGGGGGCAGACGCTTGTGACCAGGGACAGGGTAAAGACAGCCAGACCCAAAAGGGCCCCGATGGCTCCATTCCTGGCAGAAAATATGAGTGTCAGGAAATAAATTGGCTGTGGCTAGCTGAGGCGACCCGGTTCTTGTGAACAGATTGAATCTGCAGAGTGACTGAGCCCCTGAAAAATGGTCTGTCACTGCCCCCTGGCCAGAATGGGGCCCAGAGCTGGCCCCATTAGTATCTGCAGATCCTGCTGACCTGACAGGCCGGTGGGGTGGCTCCTTCCCAAGATGCTGGGGCCTGCAGGGGCTGAAGCTCAGCCTCAGAGGGCTGAGACGTGCTGCTAGGAGCAAGTTCATTGTCTACCTCCCAGGCTACCCGCCCGTCACACTGCCTGCGACAGGCCCACCGCCTAACTCCTCTCCTACCAGCTAGCAAGAGGGAAACTTCTCTGCCTGGGGTCCACAAGGCATGGTGGGGGCTGATGACTTCTCCTCTGGGCAGGCTGCTATGGGAGACAGATAATCTCCTCCCTCCAGGGTGCCCATCCAACTGAGTTGCTAACTAGCCCCCATTCCTTCCCCGAGCTGGTCTGGTCTGCGGGGACTGGGCACCGAAGGCTTGGTGTGTGCCTGGGATGACTCCCGGCCTTCAGCTAGGAAACAGAGCCCCAGAGGCCATGCAGGGGGCAGCGGGGCTCAGACTGGGCCCTTTAACGGCCCCACAGAAACCATCCTTGAGCAGGTAAGGTAGGCAAGTCTGTGTAGGACTGTGTAGGAGGCAGATCGGGCTCAGGAGCTCAGGGCTCACTTGTCCTAGGTAATGCCTGGGGCTGTCCTCCCAACCCCTCCCCTTAAGTCCTCTGCGTGTGGAGGTCAGGGATGCTCCTGGGAGAAGGGGGAGGTTGGGGGACCAGGCCCCTCCTTACCTGCATGGGCCGGGAGCACATGTTGGTGAGCACTTCCTTCCGGGCCAGTGAGTACTTGTCATCTCCAAATGTTTTGGTCAGACTTTTCTAGAAGCAAACCGTGTGATAGGCAGTCAAGCTGGGGCAGGCTCTGGGGCCCCTGTCACCCTCTGACCATCTGAGACCTGGCTCTAGGGAGGAAGGGTATGCTGAGGGGCTCCACCCTGCTCAGAAAGCCATGGTGGAGTGCAGAGGCCAGCAGCCCCCAGCCGGTGTCCCACACTGGGCCGTGGCTCTGACGTCAGCCCTTCCATGTCTTGTTGGCTGGACAGAGAGACTGGTTTCCAGTTGTCTGACCTAAGGCATCTCTCTGCCTACCCCAGGCTTAAAAGCCCAGATGGGAACAGCCTCCCTTCCGGGGGATCAGAGCTCAGGCCTGCGCCCCACAAGGCCTAGTTCCAGGAAGGGAGCACTTGACACCACTTACCATTAAAACATTCTCGGGCTTCCAATCATCTCAGCCCCCTACTGAAAGTTTCTGGGCCCAGCCCAGCCCAGCCCAGCTCTGGCCGCAGGATCCCTGCCCATGGAGGACTGTAGAGTGGTTTTCCCTCGGCCTGGTCCTGGTGGGGAGCATGGCCCATGGCCAGGGCCTCTGTGACTAGGAGGCCTCCTCTCCCCAGGGCCTCCCCCTTCCTCTGCACTCCCAGCACTCACATTGAGGGCCCCGGCAGAGCTGAAGTCCATGGGCAGCCCCATCTGTTCGCAGAATTCCACGAGGTCATTGAGCATCTTGGTCTGGGGTGGGGGGTGCCGGCGCAGCAGGGCACACTCAGGGAAGGTGCGGTGAGTCTTGTGGGCCACTGCCATGTTGGCCAGGAGCATAAACTCCTCCACGAGCCTGCAGTGGGGGTGGGGTGGGGGGGATCCAGCAGGGGTCAGGGCTGCCGCTGCCTGTTCTTGCCCAGGCTATCTGCAGGCTGGCTCTCTCGTGCCCTTCAGTCTCAGCCCAGAGACGCCCTCCTGCCACCCAATCTCATCCCCCTTGCTCATGCCCCTCTTTGCGCTAACTCCTCAGGAGCTTGTGCACCACCTCCCCATTGTCCTGGGGGGGGTGGTGGCATCTGTCTTCTTCTCTGCCGTGGCCCCTGTGCTTGGCACCCCAGCACCCTGCCTGACAAGGAGAAGGTGCTCAACTGCTGAATGACTCGCCTCCCAGGACACCAAGGGGCGTCCCCAGCTGTAAGAAAACGAGATGCCCAGGCCTGCCAAGAGAACTCGGAACGCTTCCTGGGGGTGCGTAAAAGGTGGTCAGCAGACCCAGGGCTCCCTTCTCTTCCGGAGGAGAGGAGGGTTTCTGAGGATGAGCAGGAGGGTCACAGACAGCAAGAGGAATCACACAACCTGGGGCGAGGTAAATGTGCTGTCGAGGTGTTCAAATCTCAGTTAACCTCTTAGGATTGAACACTTGAGTGTTGCTGCCCTCGCGTGCAATTAGAATCAATAAGTATGGATAGATACGGCTTCGAGTGGAGAGACAAAATTACCCCCAGGACCCAGGGAGAGGGGAGAGGAGCGGGGCCTGATGGCGGAGGAAAGAAACGTGCCAAGACTGAGGAGTCAGGCAAAGTGGGAAGCTGGATTGCACAGCCCTGAGGTCGGCACCCCCACCCCCCAAATCTGGGGCAGGAGGCCATGTGCTGCTTCCCCCACCCAGGGCTCCGGTGGGAGGATGAGCAGATCACACACAAGCATGAGAGCAGAAGCCCCTGGAAAGGGGGCTTGGGCACGCTGCTGCCATCGTGGCCAGGGTGCCCTGTATGGGGACAGCCTTGCCCAGTTCAGGGACCACTCTCCCTGCCTTTATTCTGGACCCCAAGCTGCACGTCAAGTCTGTGATTCTTCTTTTTTTTTTTTTTTTAAAGATTTTATTTATTTATTTATTTGAGAGAAAGAATGAGAGAGAGAGCACATGAGAGGGGGGAGGGTCAGAGGGAGAAGCAGACTCCCTGCTGAGCAGGGAGCCCGATGTGGGACTCGATCCCGGGACTCCAGGATCATGACCTGAGCCGAAGGCAGTTGTTTAACCAACTGAGCCACCCAGGCGCCCCAAGTCTGTGCTTCTTGCAACGGAGCCAGAAGGGGTCAGGGAGTGAGCTCCCGTAGCCCTGCCAGCAAGCAGCCGGAGGCCCGAGGTGAACTGCCTCTCCCTGGAGGTACAGGTGGTGCTTTAGGGTTAGCCTCGTCACCACGCCAAGCTCTTGGAAAGAAAAGCAGCCCGTGATGAGGGTGGGGGAGACGGACAAGCACGAGCTGACAGAGCCCCTCCTCCCCCCAGACTGGGCCTGCCATGGCAGAAGTGTGGCTCTGGTCTGCCAAGCTGTCCCGAGCTGTCTCTCCCAGAAGCCCTCTCTACGAGGAGGAAGGGCTGCAGGAATGGCCCTCTGGTGGCGGCACCATTGGAGGGACTGGGGCCAGGTATGGGCCTTGGGAGAAGTAGCCCTTCCTCTGTGGGCCTGACTTCGGGCTGGCCTGTTGTGGGGCGTAGGACGCCAGCGGTCAGGCCTCCGCTGGGCCCTGTACCACGCAGGAAACCCTAGGTGTGGAAGGAGGAGTTTCTTTGTCCCCTACTGTGTGCTCATAGCCATTGTAGTGACCGTTCTGCCTTCCTCTGCCCCCCAATCTGTCCTCGTGCACAACCCTTCCTGCTGAGAAACCTCGGAGTTCAGGCACTGGAACCCGGCCACTGTCTCCTAAGTGGAGGTCTGAATCCCGGCTCCGTGTTCTTGCTGTAGGAACAGGCATGACTCCGGGACCTCTTGTGACCCCCCCTTTCTCTCAAATGTAGAGTAGGGGTAGCAGCACCTGCTCCACAGGGCGGTCGTGGAGACCAATGTGAATACCACAGGTTATAAGGGCATCCTGGAGGATGCCCACCGTCCAGGCCCTGTTGAGTTTGATCCCTGCCATTGGCCCCCCCTTACCTGCCTTTCCCTCGCCTTCCCTGAAGGCCCAGGCTGAAGGCTGTCTCCATCACCCCCTGGGTCCTTAACTGCCAATGAGCCACCTGGCAGCAAGAGCCAGGCTGTTCTGCGGTCACCTGTGTCGCAGTTTAGCACTGTTGGACTCTCCATACTTGGTTTTCCTCTTTAGATCTTGTCAACCCAAGAGGAGTCTCAGTCCCTGCTCAATAAATGTCTGATTTGCTCTGCTGTCTATTCTCGGTCAGATACCAGATGCCGTCATCACCTGAACACTCCAGATGCACACCTTCGTTCATCTGTCTGTTTACTCCATGAACATTACTGTGTGCCAGGCGGTTCTAGACCTGTCTGCCCACACAGTCTGAGAATCCTTGTGGGCAGGGCGCCCATGGTCTGTTACTGGGAGCCCTGCAGTCTCCAGCCCAGCTGCAAGCTTGGGCGACTAATTAACACCTAAATAGCTTGGGGACTGACCCTGGGCTGTGTTTTGCTAGTGTGGCCAGCAGGGGGCAGCATGACCTCATAGCAGGGTTGCGGTCAGGCTGCCGGCGAGGGAGTGCTGGGCCGGCTAGAGCAGCCGGCGGGGCTGTGGCATTCTAGCCTGTCCCCACGGGTCAAAGGAACTGAATGCATGGGGTGCCTCCCCGGCTGGAGCCGCACTCCTGCTCCCAGTTCCTGCAGGGGCTCTCCCGCCACATCTCTCAGGTTCTCAAGTAAGGACGGAATAGGAAGAAAGGGATGGGGAGGGTGGGGCTGATGCCCAGAGCCCCAGGCAGTGATAACGGACCACGGTCAAGCTGCTTCTCCATTACTTGGACCCCCCTGGGCCCCCAGTACACTCCCACGAGCGCCCGAAGCTGGTGGGAGAACAGCCAATGTGCTCCTATAGCCTAGAGAAGTCCGGCGAAGCTTGAGATGCAGAGGCTGACCTTGGACAGGTCCCTCGTGCCTCCCCCGGGGGCTCCATTTCTCCCAGAGTGTCTCAGCTCCTCCCTCAGGACAGGGGGCAGGACGTGAGAGGGGAGCCTGCGGCATTCTCTCCAGGAGAGTTTGCTGATATCAAGCATTCATCCCAGAAAACTGTCAATGTCACCAAAATGGGAGGTGGCGGAGCAATAAGGCCGACTCCCTGGGTGTTACCACGGCTCATTAGTGTTCTAGGATAGCTGCGGGGACCGTTTCCCCACAACCTGTCCTTAAAATCCTTCTTATACCAGCGGGGGGTGGGGGGGGGAGAGGGAGGGGCAGAGAGAACACACAAGCTGTGAGCTGGAGGAAGCAGGAGCGGGGCCTGGAGCACTGTGGCACTTCAGTCCGGGGTGGCTGGGAGGGGGCACGGCGCAGTTGGAGGAGGGTCCCCAGTCAAGTGCGGGAACAGGAAGGCCAAGGAAATGCCAAGTGGCCAGCAGCCAGATTCCCCTAAGTTCAGGATTCACCGTCAAAAGCAGGGCCAGGCACACGGAGGGAGAATTGGGGGGGCGGCAGTGGGGGTGGGGCAGGCGGATGTCTCCGCTCTCCTCTGAGGCCAGCGAAGGCCCCCTTCCCAGGGCTCAACAGGTTCCCTCCTCCAGGGGTCAGTTCCACCGAAAGGCCAGCAGGGGGCCCCCCAGCATCTTTCTTCCACAGGACCTGGGACGTGGCAGGAGCAGCTTAGAACCCAGGAACTTCTGGGCAGGAAAGAGCCTTAGTTTAGAAACTGCAATCCTGTGGCCCAAGGTCCAGGGGGCTCTGGGCTCCCATTCAGTGTTCTCCTCAGCCAAAGGGGCTGAAGGCTTGCCCTCTGTGGGAAGGCAGGGCGATCAGAAGAGGAGCCTCAACAGTTGGCTTATTCACCTTCACCCTGATCTTCCCCTGTTTGGGGCCCGGCAGCCAGACCTCAGGTGATGCCCCAAGCTGTTCTGGGTGGCCAGGATGCACCCCTGAGAGCAAAGGCCACACACCAGAGCCTGGGACGTGGGGATGGAGGACGCTGCTCCCGGATCCAAGTACCTGCCCCGGTCGTAACCCATCTCCTCCTCCTGCTACAGCATGGCATGGGCATGAGGTCACTCGGCCCCACTCGGAGGGCGGAGGGGAGGCTGCAAGTCAGCAACTGCGGGACAACTGCTCTAAATGGGGGCTCAAGGAATGGCCACCAGCCAGGATCACCTTCCAGAAGAGCAAGCCAAGCCCTTGGAGGTGGGGCCTCGGTCCCAGTCCTGACATCTGCTGAGCATGTGGAGCCCGGTGCCACTAGGGGCCCACAACTCTGGAGGTCTTGGGGGCGGGGGGGTGCCTGTGACAGCCAGCTGGGGGCCGTGCCAGGATGCAAGCTCGTCAACACTCATCCTCAGCATCCCCCCTACCCGTGCTCTGGGCTTCCAGGTGCTGGGGGTGGGGGGCAGGGGCGGGGGGGCAGGTGAGGGGCTTCTCATCCCAGGAGGAGCTGAGCAAGCCTAGAGCTGTCAGAGTCCCTCACCGGCTAGGGCAGGCGGCAGGTAAAGGCCACGACCAACCTACTCACAAGTACACACAAGCTCACACGGCAAAGGCGACTCTGGTCCAGAACGGTGTTTCCCAAAGTGTGTTAATGTTACTTAGAGAAAAAAGTATGAATATATATGAAACGCTAGGGGGGATGATGTTATTTGATGTTTTTATTACAGGACATTCCTTTGCCTTTAGGAGGCTAACGTGCACCAGGACTACAAGAAGCTACGGGATGTGGCATTTACTGTTCGCTGACGATTGGACTTGGGTCACAGCTGCAAGGACGAGGTCTGGGAGAAGACGCTCTACCTGGCAGGGGTCAGACAGTGGCCACATGAGCAATGGGCTAAAATCGCTGCCCTTTCAGAGGAAGGCTGCCCATTCTTGACCATCGGAGGAACTGGACTGAATGCTCCTCCGCTGGTCTGGGAGGCTGTGGCTCTGTTTT